CAGTAGTCACAGCCTACTGTTTTAGAAGAAACACATGGCTCTCAATGACAGAAAATGACATAATCATGAGATCATAGTACACAAGACTTGGATGCTAGTAATCCACCTGTAAACAACTCAATCTGAACATAAAACTGCACCACACAGAATCCACACGGAACAACCAAGACTTTGCCTCTTCATTCTAAGGCAGGAAAGTTTTCCATTTGGGTCCTGCCAACTAAAACCAAAGGACTGGTGTGTTTATTTATGAAGCTATGTGCTCCTGACTGTGCTCATCTAGATGCTCATCTAGAGCACTGTTGAATATATAAAGAGGCCCGTTCATTATGAGACAATTTGGCAAAAACAGGTTGGAGTCGCTCTTCGTGTGGTATCTGCTACCAGGATTGGCTCTGGATAGAAGTGTTAAGTGAGCAAGGTTTGACTTAACCATCTCTGATTCCCCTTCTGTCCTCCCTTTCCTCCATTTTAGCATCCTTCCTTCCCTCTGCAGTTTAATTCATTTCAGCTGACACTTATGGAACTGAATTCAACATTTATGGCATCTTTTACCAAGCACCGTGCTTGGGTGCTCTTCCCTGGTCCTATAATATTCATGTCCTCCACTAGTATTTGCAAATTGAACTTGGTCCTTGTCTTTCCATACCCTGAGTCTATGTGAAAAACATCTCAGGCTGAGAGGACTGATTGATTTTCAGCATCATCTGCAACTGCCTACAATCTAATTTTTAAATTGATGCTTCTGAATATTACACACACACACACACACACACACACATCCTCAGCCTTGGTTGACTGACTTGAGGAAAAACAGCTATAGTAATCTACAAGTTCTCTTTATTGCTTTCTGGATGAAGGGGTGTGTTAAAGGCTCAAGACAGCTCAACAGTAATATTGAGAAAGGGTAACTGTCCAAACACAACTAGAATATGGTACTTTGGAGAAATAGTGAAGTATTTGAAAAGTGCATGCTATTTCCTTTCGTTATCACTACTGCTACATTTTTTTAATGGAATGATTTCAACTTCTCCCCAAGGTCTCCATTTTCATGGAGACTGACAGAATCCACAAACATGGGCATGGTGGTGTATGAAGGGCATAGCACTCAGCTAGACATCCTGAGACCAGGCTCCAAGCCTTGAGGGTGTGATTAACCAAAGTGTCTTGCTATCTGGGAGAACTGCAGCATATGCTGAAGTAGAAAGCACAGGACAAGTATTAGAATACCAGGATTCTAGGCTGACATCTACAACTAATTAGATGCGTGACTCCGGGAAAGTGACTGACCCTTCTTGAGTCCTTATCTGGTCATCAAAAGAGTTGGTTCCATGTGACATAAGAACATGTTCTGATACAAACAGAAAATCTGTAACAGCTCCTGTGGTTAGCATGCATGCTCAGCCGTGATGGTTTAAGTGCTTGTTGGGAATAACCCAATGGATCAGCAAAGGGATTGTCTGTGGCCTGATGCATCGGACAGAATAACAGACTCACATTAGCAGAGGGAACTAAATTGGCAGCCTGGTCTGTTTGGTCTCTGATCGACCTCTGCCAAACCTATGCTTCCTGATCTTCACGGTATGGCTCTGCACTGCTTTTTATTTTCCTGTTCTGTCATTCTGGCTCACTGTTAGCATAGAATAAACTGCATACACCTCCCTGAAAGCCACTGCCAGGGTAGTCTGGCTCTGCTGCTCAGACATATCCCATTCCATCTGTTCCTCCCTGAAACAGAGGGCTGGCTACCCAGCTTCAGATGCAGGCAATAAAACTGAGCAAGCAGAATGACACAACTTTTAAGCCGTAGGTTTCTTAACCTACTAAGCCTGCTATACTGCATGCTGGTTGGCCCCAAATGAATTGAGGTTAGGAAAAAAGGCAGAATTGGTCGTTCAGGTTTAGCTTTGACCTCATCCACAACTCTCACTTGTTTTCATCAACTTGAGAGGATTCTGTCCATCTTAGCGATTAATTTGCATTTTCCTCTTCTGCCCTTGCCTTGCCACATGGGAGATAAATGGAGACAATTAAAGGATTCAAGGGTCACTTCTCAGAAGCCTTCATTGATATCCCCACATGATGTCTTAATGCACCTGGACCTCAGCATTGGTTGGGGTGACTCTTCTGGGTCCACCAATGGAGCTTCTGTGACTGCCTCTCTGTGAATACCACGTTGCCATCCTCTGTCCCCTATGAAGACTGTGAGTTCCTTGAGGGCACCTATTGTATCTTGTTTGTCTCTGTGGCCCAGGGTCTAGCGCAAGGGCACAGTGTCAAAGTTTGATAGATTTTAGTGATGATTATTACTACTATTGGTGCTGAGGAAAGGTTATGCCAAAACTGTTCATTGGAAGACCCCATATAAGCACACAATATCCTCTCCAAGCCTCCATTTCCTCATATATCAAATGGAAATAATAATAGTGCCTACTTCATGAGCTTTTGGTAGGTGAGAACTAATGAGACAAAAATGTATCAAGTGCTGGGGGACAGAGGTTGGCCCGTATCACCCACTCAACACATACTGGTCGTTATTATTTAGGGTTGTGAGGTATATTTGAGGCAGCTTAACTTGTCTTCCAAAGAGAGGAGGCCAATTACTTTTCAGAGAAGAATACACCTTCTATCTCCCAGCCTGTATCTGGCCTCAAAATGACACAGAGGAACTCTTAAAAACTGGTCCATGTCTCCCTGTAATTACGTCAAATAACATGAGAAAAGCCAGCAGAACCACACCCACCCCAGATGCTGACTGTTGTGAAAAGGCCCCATGGGGAAAACCCCAGGGGGTGGGGCAGAAACCCACCTAGCTCCATCCTTCCCCACCACACTCCCCCAAATCCAGGAAATAACCACTCTCTCTGCCCAATAATAACATGTGTTCCTAAACATTGACAGACACTGTTCTGTTCTAGACGGTGTGGGAAAATGACACTCCCCGCCCCAGACAGTCTCACCATATTCGTGGAAGGTCAATACTGCTGCTGTTGACAAAAATTTTCTGAGAAGGAGAAAATGTACAGAGAAAGAGTTTTAAAAAGAAAACTTCCTGCCAACTGATGGGAGATAAGAGAAAGGGAACCTGAAACATATCCTTGAAGAGAATACCATCTATTGGAGAACTTTTTATTCTTCATTAATAACCAACCCCCCCCTCCCCGCCAAAGAATGAAGAATTGAAAAGAACAAGCACAATCTGTGGGTCACATACACGAGACACAAAAGACACCTAGCTCAGAAGGTGTGGGAAGGGAGGCTCTCACCATGGCAGAAGCTTGGGAGCTGTGCAGATCCAGCAAGCAGGCTCTAAGATCGTGTTTATCTACTTAAGAATGTATTTATGCTGGCCTCCTATGTTAACAACTCGGGAATGGTATTAGGTGTGCGCTCCCTATGTCATCTGAACTCCAATTCTACCAACTGCTCTTTGGTGGCTCACTGAGACTCTTCACTCACAAGGTAGGAGTCTGGGTTCCCACAAAGCCAAAAGACACAAAACAAGGCTCCTTTCAAAGCACAACAGCAATCACAAGTATCCCTAATTATACATCAGGGTCTAATAAATGGAGACCGTGCCCTGCAGGTGTCAGCAGGAAAGGCGTGTACAAGATACCCAGACAGGGCCTGCCGTTTCTGCAAGCGTGGAGTTCAAAGTGATTCTCCAATGCCATCTCTGTTAACCGTGGGCGCATGCTGATGATGAATTGGGACTAATTTGGAAACAGTCAGCTGCTGGAGAGTGTGTGCATCAATTCCCTCCCTTCATAATGTATACAGCATTTTGATTGTGGTGTTCAGCGATAAATAACTGAAACGAGTTCTAACTGCTCCGAGAGGCTGTCTTATGTCTTCACCACTGCTTTTGATATTCTCCAGGATAGTGCACATTCAACTTTATATGCAAACCTGAAATGGTATTCAGGAGAAGAAGAGGGGGGAAAAGGCAGCCAATAGATCTTTCACTTTGGGAATTGAAAATAAGCTCATATTCAAACTGCAGCATTTATGGCCCAATGCTGAATACATAAGATATGTGACCACTACAAATTCACCTTTCATAGCAAAGCTGTGCTCTAGTAGTGACATAGCTTATTGCTAGATTAGAGCTTTTAGCATGATGAAGGCATCTTTCATCTTCTCCTGGATGAGGGCTGGGTGCTCCTTCGGGGCTGTATTTCTGCCTGTCACAACGCCCAACAGCGCTGAGACAAGAGCTTACAAGAAGAGGACCCGAGTCATTCACCAAAGGGCTGCATCCAATTTGAAAAGGGAGCACCTACTTGGAGATATCTTATCTGCAAGAGATCACACTCTCTCCGATTGCCATGCTCTGCTAAGGCCAAAGAGAGAGGTCAGCCAACACTGTTTCATGGAATCAACCCAAAGAGCAAATCGAACATCCCAAGTATTCAGCCAATCCAAGATTTTGACAATATCAAAAAGACAGTTTCAGGTAGGTCACAGTACAGGTTAGTCCCCAGGAAAAGCATACACATATCATGTACATCAGTGTACACTTACACATTGTTACCATGTACACACACTTAAACCAGGCCAGTTATGGAATGGCTTTCCAGATTCTTCTAAATCCACCCCAAATCTTAGTGTATGGATCAGACAGATGTTCAAGGATTTTACAAAGCATAAAATGATTCATCAGTGCCGCTGCTTCTCCTTTCTTGAATTTTTGAGAAGTACAGTTCAAATCTTGTATTGCTATAAGTCCTTGGCCATCGTCACAATCAGTCCTAAAAGCTCGCTTTCCAAAGTCATCTCCTGACGCTCCGCTCTTTCTCCTCTCCCCTCTTTAGTCCTTCATGCACCCAATATTCCTGACACCTGCCTCACTCATTTAAATTCCCCAGTGACTAACCCAAAGCAAAGCCCACAGAAGGCATTCCGCAAATCTCTGAGTGAATATGAATGAATGACAAAATGAGGACAGCACATGGCTTTGTGACAGCTATGTCAGACGCATGGGGGAACTTTTCACTTACTTCCCATTCTTAGATGTGTTCCGGGCCTTTGCGGATGATGGAGAGTTGGCGCCTGGAGTAGTGTTTGGAGAACCCTGTTTATCCTTACTATACCCACAGAAAGAACAGAAAAAGATATACAACCATGACCACAGAGACAAAAATGAATTAGTCATTTCATTTCACTCATTTCATTTAAAGACTTGCAAGGTGCCTCTCTTGATCTCTCAACCTCTGTGTGTATCTCTCTGTCTCTCTCGTCTGTCAAAATAAAGTATGATCTTATCCAGAGCTGCCCTTCAAAGGTAAAGAGAGTGGGGACCATTGGTCAAATTCAAAGAACGCTATTCTTCTGACATCCAAAGCTTCAGCTGGTGGATGCCATTCATGATAGCACCACAGCCCAGGGCCCCAGGGAGGCTCTGGCCAAAAAAAAAAAAAAAAAAGTCTTTAACATAAAATCCTTTATTTGTCTCTGGGTTCTCTGTACTATGAGTTCAGTTCTGAAGCTGCTGACTTGTTGTGAAGTATGTGGATGTCAAATGACTTCTAAAAGTCTTTGGGAGATACTATCAGATGAATTAATAATTCTCACTCATAATGTTAGCATAGGAAGGCCGTGAATCCAGATATTCTTTCAGGAGAGGCACCACCTGCTTCATGAGTAATTGAATTTAAATCTCCACCTTCAATAACTCCACAGCTTATGTCAAACCTTGGAAACAATTACGAAATAAATCACTAGGAAGGTCTGCTTAATCTCATCGGGTTAATAAACGCAGACAAATTAATCACTGGAAGGTAAACAAAGAGGAATAATTGATTGGAGGCTTCTTGATTACTTTATTCTATTTTCTTTATCAAACTATTTTTACCATTATCTTCAATTCAGCTGCTCTGCCTTGAAATTATTACTTTACTTCATCTTCAGATTTCCATGGAAACCAATTCAAAGCCCTTTTCCCCACTTGATGATGTGTGGAATTATTTATCCTGATTTCATCAGAAAGATTTTTTTTTGTTAGTAGGATCTACGTCAGCATAACCTTTTACGAAAAGTGAAGGTAAAAAAGAAAAATACATAGCTTGGCTTTCAGTGAGTATAATAGAGCCTTCCAAAGGCACAGAATATTGTCTGAGAGAATGTCAAAGAGCTTTCCAGATATTTATGAATCTTTAAGTACATCAGAAATAGGTCCCTACAAAGAGCTGTATTTAAATGTGGGGTGAGGTGGGGTTCGGGGGTCAAAAAAGATATTCTGCCTCACATCCATCAGCTTTAAGTGACTCCATGGATGTGACTGGAACAAGAGATAATCATGGGTTCCCGGTGATAGAAACGGCCTGCCATGCAGGAGACCTGGGTTCAATCCTTGGATCCGGAAGATCTGTTGGAAGAGGGCATGGCTACCACTCCAATATTTTGCCTGGAGAATCCCAAACACAGAGGAGCCTGGTGGGCCACAGGATCACAACGAGTCAGACACGACTTAGCAACTAATACTCCCAGTAACTGCCAAGGTGATCCAGATGTGTGTGGGCACAGGGCTAATCAGACAGATGGCAAATTCCAGCAGGTGGGACTGTGTCCAGGAGGACCTCAAAATAGTTCTTTGAAATGGGAGTCACCGAGGTGAGCTCCGATCCTTCTGCTGGAGTGAATGGCTCTGGACAGTGGCCACATAGGAGGTGTCAGAGGAGGTGTCAGAAGTCCCCTGAGACAGTGCTGAAGAACTCATGCAGCGCTGCTCCTGCCTATCCATGCTGACTTCCTGGCAAAGAACTTCTTAACCATCCCTGGACCATACCAGTTACCCTTGGCATTCAGAACCGCGTTCAGAAATGAAGTGATAACACCAAACCACTGGACAAAAGATTGGAACTCAGGAGAAGTCTAAAGTGTCTCTTCCAGAAGGCTGCTGCTGTGTCATGTGAGGGATGAAATATGCTGTGTGTTGCAAAATTTAAGCAGGTCTCAATTCCACACATTGGCCACTGAATCTTCCTCCTCCCAGCCTCTCACTCAAACAGAAGGCAGTGGGAAACTTTGCTAAAAACCTTTGGAAACAAAGACCCTTTTGATCTTGCAGGCTGCTAGGCTCAGAGGAGGTGGGAACACACTGTTCCCCCAAGTCACTAAGTCCATGCATTTTTGTTCTTTTGAATAAAAGACTCCCATCCCAACTGCTGTAGTCCCAAATCTTTTTGCCTCTTTATACTGTTCATGGGGTTCTCGCGGCAAGAACACTTGAATACTGGTAAAGATCGAAGGCAAAAGAAGAAGGCAGCAGAGGATGAGATGGTTGGATAGCATCACTGCTTCAATGGACATGAACTTGAGCAAACTTCGGGAGACAGTGAGGGACATGGAGGCCTGGCATGCTGCAGTCTAAGGGATCGCAAACAGTTGGACAGGACTTAGCGACTGAACAACAACAACAAAGTTCCCAAACCTGTGCGTTGGGAGCCAAGGATCCTTTAAAATCATGACAAGTGACCATGTTTAAGGCCAATGCACAGCACCACAGGACATCAGGAAAAGCTGTCAGCTGCCTTATTATTGTTAACTGCTGCTTCGGAGGTGGGGGTGGTGGTGCTGGAGCAGTCGTCCTTTAAGTGATAGAAATAAGGACTCCTCTAACCTACTGCCAAATCCTGCAAGTGTAGATTGGAGGGGGAATAAACACATATAGTTTCTCAGAAAAATTTCAGATGGAAGGCAGGGCACCAAGACTAGGGGTGAAAGTAATCAAAAATTCAAAATGTTTATTTCATGCCAGCAGCAGAGATCCACTGACAGGGCAAAAGTGAAAGGGATAGGGAAAGTCACTCAGTGGTGTGTGACTGACCCCATGAGCTGCCATCCACCAGGTTCCTCTGTCCATGGGGTTCTCCAGGCAAGAATACTGGAGTGGGTAGCTGTTCCCTTCTCCAGGGGACCTTCCTGACCCAGGGATCAAACCCAGGTCTCCCGCATTGCAGGAGGATTCTTTACTAGCTGAGCCGCCAGGGAAGCCCAACAGTGGCAAAATGAACCTGAAAGTGGGGGAGGGACGAGCAGAACAGTGGCAGGCTTGGATCCTTGGAGTTGAACTTTGTAGATGTATCAATATTAAAGACTGTTGTATAGAAAGGCTGGCCAAACATTGAGGGGAAAGAGCCATCGTTCCTCCTCAAAGTTCCAAGCTAGGTAGGTAAGTCTGGACAAGATGCTATGATTTTGAAACCTGGAGAAAGAAAGATCCTGAGTTTTCCAGAAGTGATCCAAGAAAGAGAAAGACAAAATCCTGCAACTGCAAACTGAGAGCCTCAGAGATCTGGAAAAACATGGGTGGACAACCCAAAGATGAAGATGCTGCCAAGGTGACTGACCATGGAAGGAAACATCTGGTAATCCCAAGGGCTTCAGGAATAAGTCCTGCCTGCTTTTAGGCTATATGGGTGATAATTTGGGGTATATGAGGTTCTAGAGGACTGCCTGAGATTACAGCCAGTTTCCAATTTACACTTCTGGAACAAGAGTACCCCAGCCATCATTATTTTGTCTGTCTCTAGACCACTTGTCAGCCCTTTTGACTTTCATCTCCTCTTTGGATCTTAAAAGCTATGGCCCAAAATCCCAGAGGGCATGGATCCAGGCTTCTCCCACTCCTCAGGAGTAAGCTATCTTCTTCAGAGGGTAAGATTCTTTCCTCTCTCCCTCCCAATCCAGCCTCCTCAAAGACATATGAACACAATTCCAGGTGAGCTCCTGGTAGGAAAATGTAATGAATGCCAGCACTCTCTCTGTCTGCTTGGTTGGCTGTCCATCAAGTATCAAGTAAATCATTTTCCACAGGCTCCACAAATGTCTCCACCACCAGAAAAGTGGAGGAAAAAATCCTGCAATATTATGCACATTGTACTCAGGTGGGAAAACTATGACTAACTCAACTCGTCAGCATTTTCAGAGTGTTTCTGATTGAATAATTTGATGCTGAAATGGCATCCAGTGTACTTCACCCAAAATGGCAATCAGATCCACTCCAATGTGGATTTTTTGTAGGTCAGAGAGGTATCTGAGGGAGAAGAACCGAGCAGTTCAAACGTCCTTGACTCACTTTCTTGGTGAGTGGCATACAGCAACTTCTGCATTTCTTGTAGTACTTTGTAAGCTCTTTTTGAAATTAATTCATCTCAGATCTATGAGAAGTAGTTGTGTTGCTCTAAGCACAACAACACTGAAATTTTAAAAATGAAATTTCAGGGTCCTAGGAAATTGAAATACTATTTCAGGAGGGGAGTTGGGCTATAATACTCATTGTCTACTGTCTTTTATTTGGCACTTAGCATGTGGTACCTGCACACCTGCAGTGTTGTTTATATTTTACTGTTTTTCTGTCTCTCCAGCTAGCTCTTAAGAGGATGCTTCAAAAACATTTGTTAAACAATTGAAAAGGCTGCATTTTGACTCAGTGGAAGAGTTCTGTGATTGATTACTGATGTCTGGCACCAGTGTGAGAGAAGGAAGTGATGACATACCAATCCCATATGTTCCATCCCTAAAGAAGAATAGTCTGGGAAAATTGGATTCCAGTTACTGATGGTTGATCATCACGTGAATCACAAAGACAGGTAAGCTTAGAAAGGATGCTCAAGCAAAAAATCTGTTGCATTTGAATGGCTTTCAGTGTTTTTCCAGTGTGTGTTCTTATAAGTGGTAACAGAGATGAAACCCAAGCTGTTCTTTAGGGGTTACTTTAGGTCTCTCTTGGGAAATGGTAGCTACTCCTTGCTCCCTAGAAATGACCCTCAGCTCCTTAGAACTCCAAGGAAAAGGAAATGTGCTTAAAAAATACAGACTCTACCAAGGATAGAAGCTCTCATCTAGTATTCTTTCCAAAAGGTGCTTGAGTACCCTCTACAGCCTATCACCCCACCACGTGGTTGTCATTTGCAGCCCTTTAAATCATGATTGCTTCCCCATGAAAGCCTGCTTTTCTATTTTCTAAGAGGCTCATGATGCTGAAGTATTTTTGCCCTTGTCCTGTTACTGAGCAAGATGGCTCTTCAAATATTGATTTCCTTTAATTAGAGCTGATGAGGCTTCTTCATTTCATTTTTTTGTC